TGTTATATAGTGATGTCAGTATGTTATTTTAGTAAACAAAGGAGTCCAAAGGAGGCGTATCAGCCAAGGGAACACAGGGAATTAAAGCCTTTGCAAACTATTTACATGCACAATAACCGATATAACAAACTACAGGAAAGGGAGCATAATAGATCTCTTCACAGTTCTCATTCACTAACCTGCGGTCCTCCCAAAGTGTTCCTCTGGTCGGGGATCTCACAGCTGCTCACCACCGTCTGCAGAGAGTGAGGGTCGAACATCTCGCTCTGCTCCGGGATGTTCGACGGGACAGAAAGCTCCGATCCAACTGAACCGCTCTGAGACAGCAACGAGTCTTCTCTCGTCTTTTCCAGTTTATCCATTAAAGACTGCGTCACTTCTACACACTCGTATCCGAGAGGCACCGTCCTAATCTCTTCTTCTTCTTCTTCTTCTTCTTCTCCGTCTTGCCTCAGATCCTCCGCCTCCTCGTCCGATGGAAACTCTTCAGCAGGGGAGCCTGGATGTTGCTCCATCTCCCACACAGGCTGTCCTGTTAGTGGAACATCCCCACAGCAGGCCTCTCCTCTGGGCTGCTGGTCTACAGATGCAGCCTCTTCTATCGGGCTCATGGGTGTCTGTTGTCCTTCAGAAACATTTTCTCTCACATCTACAGAAAAACAGATACATAATAAAACATGTTCAGCATTTCCCAGCTACTCCAAGGTTCAAGGCTTTTATTGTCATGTGTACATACACTGGACAAAAATATAACTGCAACACTTTTGTTTTTGCTCCCATTTTTCATGAGATGAACTCAAAGATCTAAAACATTTTCTATATACACAAAATAACCATTTCTCTCAAATATTGTTCACAAATCTGAAAACATCTGTGATAGTGAGAACTTCTCCTTTGCCGAGATAATCCATCCCACCTCACAGGTGTGGCATATCAAGATGCTGATTAGACAGCATGATTATTGCACACGTGTGCCTTAGGCTGGCCACAATAAAAGGCCACTCTGAAACGTGCAGTTTTGCTTTTTTGGGGGGGTCTGGGGGGGTCCGAAAACCAGTCAGGTTTAACCCTAACCCTAACATGTCAGTGGCATGTTCAGAGTGGCCTTTTATTGTGGCCAGCCTAAGGCACACCTGTGCAATAATAACGTCTTATTTCATATTGAATTACCCAAAACATGCTATATTGGATTTGAATCGTTATCGACTGAACATGCTTCACCTTTAAACTGTTTGTGAGCGTCTTTTCTTCTCTTCCTGCTCACAGCTTCTTTAGCCACGTCCACGTCTGTTTTTTCCGCCCTCTCTTCCTCCTCCTCCTCCTCCTCCTCTTCCATCACTACCTCCTCCTCAGGTTCAGAGTCACTGGCCTCCCTCGGTGGGGAGAACAGGTATTGCACAAAGGAGTGGTTGGAGTCGCACTGCCAGATAGCGGCGGTGGAGAAGTTGATCTGAGGCTCCAGGGCTCTGAGCTGGGGCTCGTGAGGGCAGGAGCGGCTGTGATCCTGGTACCAGCTGACCAGGCTCTGGAGGCTGGACACCCGGTCCTTCCTGCCTGGGAAACAACAACAAGTGGTCATTGTTAATAATATTGTCGATTAAAGTCTTTTTTTCCCACATATTTGTTTGCATTAAAAATAACTTGCATTATTTTCTTTTATATTTAATTTTTAACTAGCGCCTGTTTCGGATTTGTAAGCATACCTATCTGTACCGACTACCCAGGGAGAGGTCAGAGAATTTAAATGAATGTCTGTATTTATTTATAATTTGCCAAGACTTAGATGGAAAGGGGTAATGTATGTATGTGCAGGGCCGCCACTTGCGGACAGGCAAGGCAGGCAACTGCTTGGGGCCCCCAAAGAAGGTAGATTAAGAAGGCCCACAGCAACGACAACATGAAACACCCTTTAATTTACTGCAATGACATGTCGGGAAACCCCCTCAAGGCGGCCCCATGCATAGCGCGCCATAAAATGCTGCTTCTTTTCTTAAATTTCGTTGCAAAGCTGATTCGAGGGGCCCCCAGTGAATGTTTGCCAAGAGCCCCCACAAGAATCGGCACTGTGTATGTGAGCAATAACGTGTAGATTTGAGTGGACTGTAAACTGAGGCGGGTGTGATTTTTAATTACATCCCCATATATGTTATATATTTGTGGAATAAATAAAAAGTTATAAAAAAAGAAAATAATAACTTGCATGAAACGCAATTTGAAATGGATTCAAAATATCCCCATCTGTCAACTTACCTTTTTTCTGTTTTATAGAGACTTCTGGAGCAATCTTCTTCCTGTAATGCAATGAAATGGACAGTGACTGGTCAGATTAAGCAGAGATAGAGTTCTTCCTTATAAAGTTGATACACAACCATAATGGCAAACAATAATGACTTTGATTTGATTTGATCTAATCTATAAAAAAAAAAAGACTTGCATGGTCTGGTTGGGTCAAGCAGGATAACAAATTATGAAGTTGAAGAACAAACAAAAAAGCAAACAACATTAGGCTGACAGAAAATAAGGAAAAGTCACTAATATTACAGCAGACCATATTAATCAAGGCAAGGAAAGTTTATTTATATAGCACTTTTCAACAAAAGGCAATTCAAAGTGCTTAACAAAAATGAAAGATATTAAGAGCATAAAACACATTAGAAACATTAAAAAGCAAAGATAATAAAACATGAATAACACAGGTACATGAAGAAAAAGATGTGAATATATCAATTAAAAGCACCGGCAAAATGAAAAGTCTTCAGCCTGGATTTAAAAGTAGTTTGAGTTGCAGCGGACCTGCAGGTTTCTGGTAGTTTGATCCAGATATTGGACAATACCCCCAACCAAATTCTCACAATCCTCTATTAACCTTTTTATGAATGAAGGCATGCATGGTCTGGTTAAGTAACATTAGCATATATAAACAGTGTCTGTGCTCACCCGCAGTACTCCTGCTGGTACTTCTCTCCATAAGTGTTGTTGAGCAGGATCAGATACTCTGCCAGACCAGCATCACTCAGGCTGGTTCTCCTCCTCACTTCACTCCACAGCTTGTGCGACTCTCCCAGGTAAACCCGCCGGATATCGTACTTCTTCCGGGACTCCAGGCGCCTCTGAGCCCGGTCTGAGTCCGTGAGTCTGGGTCTTCCTCTGCATCGTCTCAAAACCTCTTTATCCTCCTGATCCCCGGCCGGATCCGAGTCCAGAGCAACCTCCAACTCCACTGGGTTACGCGCCATCTTGGCCACAACAGCTGATGTTGTGATTCTACGGTGTCCCGGAAGCTGTCAGATTTAACCGGAAACCCTTACCATGAGAAAACTGGGGAGGCTGCTTTCTGTTTTTATGGCCCCAAACGGCTCCCATTTGATCTTAGAACAGCAACCTCAATTGGAAAAAATTTAAGTAAATTAAAAACTTATCTTTTTAATTAGGCTTATAATTTGGGGCATGATGTTAACTTTAAACACAAGGGAAATACTATTGTGTACATGGAGCGGAACGTTACGGTGAACGAAGCCTTTCCACACGGACCTGAGCAGCGTGAACACCGGTGTGCAACATGAAAACAGACGCGGCAAACGCTACACATCTTCAAGAAAAGTGTATCTTTTTTTTATTATAATGTTTCTTAAGTTATATGAGCAGGTTTTGGTGAATTCATAACCAAGTAGTAGGTGACAATGCAACGCCTCTAAAAACCAACGAAAAGAAGAAAATAAAAATAAAGTAGAGATCGAAGAAGAAGGAAAATATAAGTCCTCTTTATACATCACCGATACCGTCTCAGTCATCATGGCGGACATATTAACGAGTGTTTTTAGGACTTTTATGTCTCAAACAGACAAGGATGTAACGGTGGTTCCACATTCAGCTTGTAGTGCTCTGTTGCCAGGAGACAGCTCCGTCAGCAGCTCGGTGCTGTTGCTAGGAGACAGCTCCATCAGCCGCTCGTTGCTGCTGCTGTCTGCGGTGATGGCGGCCTCTGAGCTGGGGGTGAGGGTCGTGTTCTTCACCCAGACTCAGATCCAGAGCCTCCCGGTGTCTCTGCAGAAATGTGTCCCCAGCCCAGAGAGTCTCAAGGTACACACAGTGGGGGGATGTAGTTGGTAATAGTTCATAGATTTGTTTTTAATCCAACAAATCTGTAACTAATATAATCTGCGAATATTTTTAATAATATGTGTATTGTTTCTTTCTGTTTTCTTCTGTGTTTTTATGGAATAATACATAACTATAAAAAGTGTAAAAAATAAACTACGTCAAATTATTCTACCATTTTCAAATTATTCCACCATTTTCCTGTCAATCACATTCCTGAGCAGCTACAGTCATTCATTCAGCTTCTCTGTCTGTTTTTATTTTGAACAGAAAATCAAGTTTTCCTATCCCAGGACGTTGGGGGATCTGCTGCAGCAGGTGGCCGGCCTCCACGAGTCCCAGAACACGTCTCCCACCCCCCCGTCTCTAATCATCGTGGACAGACTGGAGGGCTTCCTGGGGGGAAACCACAGTGAGGATCAGAGCAGTGCTGCACATCTGTCAGCGCTGCTCTGCGACACTTCCTCCTTCCTCACACACATCCTGAAACAGCGCTCCCCTTCCTCCGCCCCCTGCCGCCTCATCGCCTCTTTCAGGTCTGTCGAAATCGATCCCAAATCTAGGAACAGAGCTACTACATCCTCAGAGGATAGAGAGGCGAAGTCCCGCCCATCTACTTCCGGTCCATGGGACCTTATTTCTGAAAAAGTATGTATTGAAGTCAATGGAGAGAAATATTATCTTTGGATCCCGTTTTGTGCCATGAATTACACATATGATGTTTGTCAATCTTAAAAAATCATTTCCATGTCAAAAAAGTCACAGTTTGTCGTAAAACTGTTGAAATATAAGAATATTAAAAATACGCAACTAGAAAGACTACAAATCCCAGAATCCCGGTCCCGCATGCTGGCTCTTACGGAACCGACTAACTCCCCTTGTGTGTATGCACAGCTCTCAGCATGCCCAGACTTGAAGTGATTTTCACCTCTTTTAATACTTTTCGCCTCATTCTGAAAGAAAGAAGTTAAATGTGCCAACGTGACGGCCGTCTTGGTGTGTGGTGCAAGATGGGAGATGTAGTTCATTGAGCGGTTTCACACAAAGTGTTACTTCACAGTTTAACGACACATTCTTATTTTTTTGACTTGCAAAATTATCTTTTAAATTGACAAACATCATATGTGTAATTCGTGGCCCAATTCAAACGGGATCCAAAGATAATCTTTCTCTCTCCATTGACTTCAATACATACTTTTTTCGAAATAAGGTCCCATGGAGCTCCCCTGGAAAGGGAGCGACTTCGCCTCTCTATGGAGAAGTTCTGCACCCCGAACACAGCTTACAGTCACACTATATAGGAGAGAAAAGCCAACTGGTCTCACCCTTAAATTCCCTGAGGCATCATCTAAACATCCCCACCATTAAACCATAAAACCCCCCCGTCCTTAACCATTTGCATATCCCCTTTTTACACTTCCTTTTACCCTCCTTAACATATGTTTCTGTTAAACACATACAAGACAAAAAATACAATTTAACAGTGTAAAAGGCAATCAGAGTATAAGACTATATGTTTTAAATGATTATATGATAATTTGACACGACAGAAATCAGCTGCTGTCTAGAGAAAATGATGAAATATGCAAAGAATCACAATATCGATATAAGATCTTTTCTTTTATTGCTTGCAAGCATGACGACTCCTTCTGAGCAGAGTTGGGAAGTAGTGGAGTACAAATACTTTGTTACTTTACTTAAGTACATTTTTCTGGTATCAGTACTTTACTCCACTACTTATTTTTCTGATGACTTTTTACTTTTACTTCTTACATGTTGAACTCAAATACCTGTACTTTCTACTTCTTACATGTTGAACTCAAATACCTGTACTTTCTACTTCTTACATGTTGAACCCAAATACCTGTACTTTCTACTTCTCACATTTTCCAAACAGGCTGGTTCCTTTAGTTTGAATGTGTGTTTGGTGGCGTGATCATTATTATTCAGAGTCATTGCGTGCCTATTGATTTGAACACGATCCGTGTATCCATCATTTCCTGGTCTTCTCTAAAGAAGAGGGACCAATGAAAACTCACACCCTACAAAGAACAGATTACAGATACCCCCCCTGGAGCACATGTAAATGCCATTCCCAGGATACCACTCATATTTCATTAGGATTACACTGCATTAAGCTATAATACCATAATTGCCATAACAGGTCGGACGTGGACTCTGAGCACGCCGGCGGGGAATCCTCCGCCACGGATCCCATCCTGGACGTTCTTGATCGGTATTTCCAGATGCGCTGTACTCTGGATCGGGACCGGAGCTACGAGGCTGCAGCAGCCGGACTGAAGGAGCTGTGGAACGTTTACCTTTCTGCCACCGGCATCACAGAGGACGCCTGTACCAAAGAGAGAGAGGACAGACCGGCTGCAGCCCCTAAAGAGTGGAAGCTGTCAATCTCCCCTGATGGTTCAATGGAGTTTAAAATGGCCTAAACATATTTGTATCAAAGACTGTTGCATTGTGGGAGATGTTGAAAATTGGTTCGTTCACTCAGCGATGTTTTTTCTGTGAAAGTGTTCCTTATTTTAGCTCCTCAGGCCTTACATGTTGCAGTGAACATGAGATGTATAGAACAAAGCCTTTGTTACCATAACATCATTATTATATTATATTTCGTGCACTGAATGACTTACACTTGTTATGTTTATTACATATTCTCTATTTATGTTTTTTTTTTCATTCTATAATGGAGAAACTGTCAAGAAACTTAATTCCTACCAAAATAAATAAAGTATTCTTATTATTCACTTCTTGTTTTATGTGAGTTTTCTTTCCTTTTTGTGTCATACGACCCTCTGACTTTTGTTTTCAAAAGAATGAAGGAGTCAGCAATGATTTCATGTTTTTATATTCTTTTATAGAAGCATTTATTCCACTTACAATACATTTTTCCAAAGCCAAAAAAGCAAAGAAGCCTGAAATGTTTTGCATAGAAACAGAAACTGTACATGCTCTGCTCTTTAGATGGCAGCATTGACCTAAACACAACTTCGACTCCACAAGAAAGACACATCTACAGTCACATGAGAACACATATTAAGTACAGTAGTACTCGTTTGACTTCATTTTATCCAGAAAAATAAACATTTCAATATTATTTACACATACAGTTTCTTTCCATTTGGTAATGCCATTGAAATGATAGATGTGAGAGAAAACAATTATGAATATTGTTTTGTGAATTGTATTTCTAAGTGGTTAAGGCAAACAATAGAACAGCTGTTAAGGTCAGAAAATAGCGTTACTTATACTTTAATGCAGCCTTTTAAAACCTGGAAAAAAGCCACTTCTGCCATACTTTGATAACCAAAATACTAAGACGATATCTAACGATGTTTAATTTTCATTTTGGGGCTATTTAACAACATACTGCTACCAATATATTCTATATTTTGTCAACATAAGAGAACCAACATTACTCTTAGTTTTCATGATGCAGAATTTCCTGTCAGTTAAACTCAAGCCCATAGAGTGCCACAGTGACGCGTCCTTAGGTCTGTGGTTGACACACATTTAAGAGACAGATCACGTGGCGGCCCGGCTAAAATGACTGGATGGCCTACCTGCCTGTCAGCCTTCCATCTCGTGCACACATTTATCTCGTGCCCTCATTGGTCATGTGCGCGTTCGTGTGTGCTGGAGGAGGGGCTCTGTAAGGAAGTGGCCGATTTTTTCCGGTTGTGTATTTTCAAATTCTAGCGCACTCGAGCTGGTTTCTCCAAAATTACCTACCCCACCTTTAATCTTTCAAATCACAAGAGTTCACAGATATCTTGTTTCATGTGCTTCTATAAGCTCTACTTTATAATTACGTCAAACAGCTGGGCACAGTCATTTGCAGCAAAAGTTCAACAGGTGAATGATACATTGATCGGGGACTATTTTCAGCAGTGCATTAATAATAATTTGATGCTTTGGTCATACTGACTTAAGACATTAACCTAAAATTCACTTAAAATAAACCACAGTTCCCTAGTTCAGGGCATCGGTTGAGTAATTAGTGTCATTAGTTTTAAAAAATAATGGCAATACCAGGCTGTCAGTCTAACACTTCAGTCGGAATTTAAATATTTTAACATTTACTTTATGGTGGTCACCTGCAAACATGACTTCCCATGCTTCGCTTTGCATGTAGTGCTTATAAGCAATTGTTAGCATGTTAACACTTTATTATGATGGCAAAAACAAACATGGTGAACATTATACCGGCTAAACTTAAGCGCGTTAACACTGCTGCTGTAAGCTAACATTTAGCAAAAAACAATATGCTTGAAAAGTACTCTTAGCTGCAATATGAATAAACCACTATGGAAACACGCGTCCATTCTGCTCTGATCTACAGGAATGGATACTTACAGATCAGCATGCAGATCTTTGCACTGAATATCAGTATTTGGTGCTCACCACAGCTGTGTTTTGGATAAAGTTTGAGTGAAGTATGAACATCCGGCGGGCTCTTCCTCCTGAGTCCTTTAGCGTACACTTCGGTATCAGTCTGCTCCCAATGTCTTGGTACACCTTTCATAACAGTCCATGACAGGTTCTCTAACTTTGGGTGCATATCGAAAAACCCTTCATCAAGTCAGATTTAAAGGTCCCCTATTATCCTTTTTTTCATCAATATATTATAGGTCTCGGATACAAAACATGTCTCTGAAGTAGGGCCGCTCAATTAATCGTATTTTAATCGCAATTACGATTTTTTTTTTTTTCCTGTTGAATTATACTTACAGTTCAGGGTGATCAACTGTTAAAAACATACTGTTGACATTTTTTTCTCCAATAAATTGATGTTTTCAAAGTAAATGGATAATCGTTTTTAATAATCGTGATATCAATTATTGACCCAAATAATCGAGATTATGATTTTTGCCATAATCGAGGAGCCCTACTCTGAAGTGTTTGGCTCCAAACACCAAACAGATCATTGCAGCATTACCCATAATCCCCTCTGTTTCAGCCCTGTTTCCAAAGTGCTGATTCTCTGTCTGTTACTTTAGATGAAAATAAGGAGCCCCTCCCCACGCCCCTCTGAGAGATATTTGGTTAGAAATGGTGCTCTAGGAAGAGATTCAGGTGAAAAGGTGGTGGGGGGGTTACCCTGGTTGCCGATTGGCTAATGGTTACACAAGCCAAAAAATCTTTATGACTTCACAAAGTGGCCAAAATCAGAAAAACAGGTTTTTATAGAAATGGGTCAGGACAAAAAGTGAGCGAATCTTTTTTCTCTTTCCACAGAGGGGACACATGTTGATGTAGAAGAGACATGAACAAGTGGACTTTGCATAATAGGTGACCTTTAAGACTCAGTTAATGTGTAGGCCGTCCATCTTTCAGCCGTCATCGTCGATGTGGTGATGACTCGGCAGGAAGGGACTTCTAAAAGCCGGGATCTCGTTTTTGTAATCATTGGAGTAGATGACAGCTTTTCCAAAATCCTCCACTCTGCTCATGGTGCTATAATCCATAGAAATCCCAGAGTCTGCCACCGCCATGTAGGTGTACCCCGGGCCTTTTGTCATCCAGGCGTGGTTTGGGTACTCAAAGCTGGACTGTGATGAAAGTCGACTCGAATTGGAGCTCTGCGGCACGGATCCCAGGTCGGAGTGAGATTCATACGACGCCGTCTTTCTGGAGGCAAAAAGCACCTCGAGGGGTAACGTCTCCTCCAGAACGTCATCCAGTTCGTCTATGTTTTGGTTTTTTCCACTCAGGGTAACGTAGGTGTCCTGGGACTCCAGTAGGTAGGACTGGGAGCAGGGAACTTGGCTTTGGTTGAGCGCCCTTATGCGGTCTATCAGCCAGAGGTTGTGTGGTGTCGCTGTCCTTTGCTCTGACAGAACTGGATCACCTCTGTCCATCAACTCTCTGTCTTCCGGCTCCGTCTTCACGTCGTCGTCTTCTTTTCTGACTGAGGGCAAAGCTCTAAAGGCTTTGGGTGGCAGAGGCGGGAAGGGCAGGGATGGTCGTGGGCTGAGTTCAGACAGGACTTCCAGAGGAGAAGGGCATTCCTCTGAGTAGAAGAAAGCTGGAGTCAACCTTATGCCTCTGTTGGTCTGCCCTAACCACTCCTGTACAAAAACAACAATGAAGTGATTAGGAAAGATCAGAGAGAAAGGTCTGGCAGTTTTCAGACAAGAAGAAAGTACTGTCCCAAATATTCCCAAAACATGACGCAATGCAAGCTGTGGCAATGGTATGAACATGTATGGTATGGAAATGGTCTCCTAAGTGGTGTGGTCTAAAGTATTTCTATTTTCTTTTGCTTATAAAATACATTTATAAAGCTGGCATTCATTTGAAAAATAATTTAACTAGGGCATTGTTTGAAATGTAACAGTTTTTAGAACACAGTTTGGTTAGATTCATAACGTCAACAAAGCAACAGTTGCTAGATCTTGCGACTGTGTTGCTGTGACAGAGATAGATTTTGAATAAGGTCAATTCTTTCCTTATATATCCTTCTAAAAAATGACATTCTAATGTAAGAATGTTGGAAGGTATGTGTCTTCTGGAAAATGGGTCAAATATAAACGTTGGGGACAAGAATTCGTCATAATCCTGTTTCACATTTGCATCTAAGATTGACTGAATAGAGAAAGGACACTAGTCTCCTAAAGGGCTCAGTGGCAAAACCACGTGACACAGATACAGAAAACGGACTCTCGCTATCTCCCTTTTCTAGACTTTCTCTGGTAACACCATGAGGTTGGCATTTGTGGTATGGAGTGAACTGTCTTGACTATCATTGGATGGACTGGCATGGCAATCAGTACTGTCTAATGTTTCTGTTTTTTTAATTTATTACTAAACAAGGTTTGCTAACAACATTTTCCCAGCTTAACTTGCTAGCATTTGAATTGTAAGCCTGCTGACGGTAGCATTTAGCATACAGCAGCCTTGATGTTAGTGCAGCCTCACAGAGCTGCTACCATGGGTGTAAACGTGTATTGTTCTTACCTGAAAGTCTCCTCCATAAACACTGAAAAGGCCTTTGAACTTGCTGTCAGGAGTTGGAATAGTCGGCCAAACCTTCTTGACGACAAACCTGAAACGAGCACAGAAGCAAAACACTATTATTCTACATGTCTTTTTGAGATAATCGTTACTTTAGGATGCAACCAATTTCTCTGTGGCTTGTATATAAGCCTTGTGTTGCTGGTTATCTGACCTTCGATGGGACAGGAGCATGGTGAGAGACAGCACAACGAGGATGAAGGAGATGATGAGAGTCAGCGACATGATGAGGAGGTCGAGTTCTGGAGGAGGAACAACAGTTATTGCTTTGGGAACAAACTAAGCAAGAACAATAAAACCAACGCGTCTATGTATAGCCAAAATACCTCCATGAGTATCTGACACATTTCCTTATTGCTCACCTGCCGGCACTGTTTCCATGAACACCGGGTCGCTCCAGGCGCTCCAGTAGCCGTTGTAGCTGATCCCGTCGAGCTTCACTCTGACTCTCATCTTGTACATTTGGCCCGGCTGCAGGCCTCTCAGGATCAACTCTGAGCTGGCTGCAACCACCTCAACCTGGAAAACAATCCTCAGTTCATCAATACAGGTCTTAATGTGCACCTAGCAGACAATAAAACCTGCTGCTAAAAGTTTTATTCAACCTTTAAATATCCATGTAGACTGCTCCCCTTTTTACTGGGGTAAGGTTTGTTTTAGAGCAGGGGTGTCAAACTCAATTTCATCACGGGCCACATTAACATTATGGTTGCACTCA